ACTGTAGTTCCAGCTAGTTGGGAGGCTGCAACAGGAGAATTGCTCGAACCCAGGAGTTGGAGGTTACAGTCAGCTGAGATTATACCACTGCACTCTAGCCTGGTTGACAGAGCGAGACTCAAAGAAAGAAAGAAAGAAAGAAAGAAAGAAAGAAAGAAAGAAAGAAAGAGAAAGAAAGAAAGAAAGAAAGAAAGAGAGAGAGAGAAAGAAGGGAGGGAGGGAGGGAAGAAAGAGGAAAGAAAGAGAACTAAGATTACACAAGCTATTGTAAAAGATTAAACCAAAGGAATTGGTTGGGGAGGGGGCATTCTTTGTTTCTAATTTGATTTTTCTTTCTTTTATTTTATTACTTTGAGGACTGTCTAGTCCTTTGCTCCTAAATTCTATGTTAAAATAAATTGAGTATGGTCTTGCTGGTTTAGAAGATTCCAAGACAATGATTCGAAAGCTGAAGAGTCACTCACAGCTGCTGGGCAAGTTTTCCGATGAACATTGAAGAAAAAACAACTCGTTTCTTTGCCTAATGAAAAACCAAACTCCTTAGTGTGGCATGGTCTTCAAGCTGGTTTCATAAACATGACCTGTTTTTCCCATCTTCTGTCTGTTGCTTTTCTTCCATAACGTGTGGGGTCTGGATTCAGAGAATACAAGAATCTGTGTCTCAGGGTCACAAATCAGAAACACTGTTCACTTTCTGCCTTACAGCACTGTTTCTTGATTGTATGCATTTACTTCAAATGTTCTCATTACAGATCTAGAGATAGGGAAGCGTGTGGTCAGGATTCTTGTGCTTGTTGTTATAACACATACTTTGTGCTCAAGAGTGGAGCCAACAGGCTGAGCACAGCATGTTCTCACTCAGTCATGATGGCTGCGAGTGGCTGGCTTGGGCCCCCAGCTTCCCTGGGAGACACCTTCCTGACTCACACGGTCATCTGGAGGGGAGAATGTCAGGAGAGGCCAGCGATCATCCTTCAGTGACTCGACTTATGCATTTAGACGAGAGTAGGGGGTGGTGGTCTAGAGGACATGGCTATGTCAGAGCACACCGAACCCTGCTCTCAGGCCTGAGAACACACATGTGAATGAGAAATTGGCCCCGACCACTGTCAGATGTGTGCTGGCCTGTTTGGGGACCACACAAGATTCAGTAGAGGGCATAGAAAGGTCATCCAACATAGGGTCCCTTTGGCTGCCAGACTTAAAACAAGCTTGGGTTAGTTATGAAGGAGAAAACTCTTAGGCTTCCAGGGAGCATGAGAACTTTCAAAGCAGTGGGCTTTAGTCCTTCCTTAGAGGAGACATTTACCATTCCATAGTGCTTTCAGCAGAAAGCCTTTCCTTCACTGTGTAGTTTAGTTATGATTTGATCCTGCCTATGGATATTTTTCTTTCTATCATTTAAATTTTAGATAGTGCTATGAATTACTCATTTTCCATAAAGAACACTACTCTAATGATTATTAGATTTCAGAATTTCATCTGTCTGTGAAAGCTGACTTTTGGCAGCCTGTGACACTCATACATTCCTTCTTACAATTCAGATTTCCCTCTGGAATCCTTGGTCTCATTTCAGATTAGAATCAGCTATCTTGTCTTATGTTCTCACGGGGTTCAATCTTGTAGTGAATTCAGGTGAGAGAAATAGTTTCAGAACTATGATGATAGTAGTTGGAAAACAATTCACTCCAGTGACCCCACACTCACTGTCTCACTGGTAGAATGAATTACCTTTTCCTCGGAATGTTTCTCCAAAATAGATTGGCTCAGGTCCCTTATGGCACAGATGCTCCTTTGATCCCTCTGTCAAATCTAAACACAAACACCGATTAGACAAGTTCTGCTCCAAGATCTCAGTGGGCATTTTGCATTGCCTTCTAATCAATATGCTGGCTCGAATTGTCTCATTGTTTCACATCCAAAGTATAGGACTGAACTCACTCTTCCTGATCTCCCAGGAAACTTGTGTAGGACCCTAAACAGTATTTAAGAGGAATAAAACCTTCGGTGTGGATTTTTATTTAAAAGATGGAACGGTCCTGGGACTGTGTATATGTATTTCATGGTGTAATGAGCAGCATCACACTTCCTTGCTTTCCTCTAAAAAAAAAAGCCTGGATGGGTAATACCCAATTTAGCAAAAATTTAAAAGTGGTGTCAATTCCAGATAAAATTGTGATTCATAATATGGATCAAACTGTATGTTAACATTTTAAATTTTAATGTCATATCTATTCAATGAGATTCTTGATGTCTATTTTAGTAAATGATTTTATCAGCTATGCTGAGGAATATAATAATAGAAGTAATTATTCTTATTTTAATATGAATGAATAAATTTTAATAATTGCATTTAATAGTTGATAAAATTTTGTCTGTTTTTGGAAGCTGATTGTAATTCATTCTTTAGCTTTAGGCCCTTTCAAGCTAATTGGAACAGAACAGAGTTAGTTAAATATAACTGTAAACCAAAATGAAATCTTTACCTAGTAAGTTTTTATTAGTTAAGGCTTGGGGTTATTTTCCTAGGATTTCACTTGTAACATATGAAACACTCTTCCTAAAACCTTATTCTATATTGCAAAATGTGTATTATTTTTCTTAAGGGGGAACTATCTTTTCTATAATGATTGTCTCTCTGAACACAGTTTTAAGCTACTTTCAGCATCCTCAATGCTCAGGTTTGAGCTAAAGCCCCATCAGACACATCTCCAGCATCTGGTGCTGCCATCTGGTGTTTTAAAGTAATGTCTTCTGCGCTATCAAATAATATTGTTGACTTTTTCCTCTTTTGTGTTATCCCCAAATGTATTGGAGAAGGTGCCCTTATTAGATAAACTCCAGTTATTTAGTGCTAGAGTTACATATTTGATTTAAAGCTACAAATGTTCTTCTCTGGGTAAGTATCTTATTCTTTACAGGCAAAACTCACAGTAGGAAGAGCATAATCAGAAAAACCCAGGAGGGCGGGATAGATACTCTCATATTTTCAAATTCTGTATGTGTGCATGTGTATCTATTGGATAAGAAGAATTTGGAATTTAGGGGAAGGCGTGGAAGACAGAATTAACTTTTACTGAATAACTTTATGTCTTAGTCCATATGTGTTGCTATAACAAAATACCAAAGACTGGGTAATTTACAAAGAACAGAAATTTATATTTCATGGTTCTGGAGGCTGGGAAGTCCAAAATCAAGGTACCAGCAGGATTTTTATGAACCTGTGAGGAATGCTCTACTTCCAAGACGGTAATTAGTTGCTAGATCCTCCAGAGGGGCAAAATGCTGTGGTGGAAGGGATGGAAATGCGAGAAGGGTGTTCCCTCTTCTAACCTTGAGCCCTTTTATATGGGTGTTAAGCCCATTCACAAAGGTGGTGTCCCCACAACTTAATCACCTCACAAAGGCCACACCTCTTAACATTGTTGCACTGGGAAATATGATCCACTGTGAATTTTGGAGGAGACATCACCATTGAAACTGCAGCACTTTATGATTAGCACTTTATATACATGATGTCATTTTAATTCTCATTATATTACTATAAGATAAACATTATTTTCTGACTTTCTAGGTTGGAAGACTGTGGTTAAGCAACTTGCTTAAAGTCATACACTGGATTCGCAAGTGGCTGTCAGAGCCATTCTGTCTAATTCCACAGATTCATATATTTTCATGTCACTATAAAAGGGGCATAGAAGTGATATAAAAAATGGGTATTGCTACCCTGCCAACCTGTGAGTGTTAGGAAAAAGAGGGCAGAATTCCATTCATTCACTAATACTTATCATTAGGCCTTGGACTAAGTACTAAATATAGAGTCATAAAAATATAATCATAGTTCTTGACCTCATGGAGTTTTTAGTCCTATTGAGGAAATTGTATGGATTTTTTAAAAAATATACAATTTAAAATTGTGTTATGACGGTGTGGAATGGTGGAAGACAGACATTCAGGATCTTGGCTAGAGAAAATCTATGGGAGGAAGATATTTCAGCTAAGACATAAAAGGTGTGAAAGCACTAGCCAAGAGGAAACATGTGGAGGAAGGGAATGGTTAGAGAAAAAGACATTCGGATAAAGAGCAGCATGTATGAAGGTTCTAAGGTAAGGAAGATCTTATAATGAAATGAAAGAGTGCACATGTGGCCAGGGCCTAATGCAAGAGGGAATAGGCACATGGATGAGGCTGAAGAGGTAGCATAGTGTCCTCCAGCTGCTCTGTGGACACAGGGACATCAGTCGTTTGGTTACTGCAGGAACCCAGGTGACAGCTGGTGATGGCTTGGCCTATCATGTTGGTAGCAGAGATAAAGATAAAGTACAATGGGTAGATCTTGGTGATAGGTGGGATGTGGAGGGTAAGAAAGAAGGTCAAGGATGACTCCCAGATTTCTACCTTGAGCAACTGCACTAGTAGTGCCATTTTCGAGGATGAAGAATACTGTGGAAGGGTTGGATTTGAGGAAGTAAGATCTATAGTTTAGGCCGGGCGCGGTGGCTCACGCCTGTAATCCCAGCACTTTGGGAGGCCGAGACGGGTGGATCATGAGGTCAGGAGATTGAGATCATCCTGGCTAACACGGTGAAACCCCATCTCTACTAAAAAATACAAAAAAAATATTAGCCGGGTATGGTGGCAGGCGCCTGTAGTCCCAGCTACTCGGGAGGCTGAGGCAGGAGAATGGCGTGAACCCGGGAGGCGGAGCTTGCAGCAAGCCAAGAAGCACCACTGCACTCCAGCCTGGGGTGACAGAGCAAGACTCAAAAAAAAATAAAAATAAAAAAAAAAAAAAAAAAAAAAAAAAAGGTCTATAGTTTAATTCTGGCCATATCAAATTCAAAATGCTTATGAGATTTTTGAGTTAAGCTGAATCTATGAGTCTGGAACTCAGAAGGGAGGACTGGGCTGGGATATACATTTATGCATTATTAACATATATTTAAAGCAATCAGAATGAATACTCATAGAAAAACAGGCCCAGGGCTGAGTCCTGAGATACAATATTTAGGGACTAGAGGGGAAGAAGCTGGAGAACGAAGGCCTGGAGATGCAAGAGAAAGGTCTAGAGTAGGGTGCCATGAAAACTGAGATCCGACAAATGTTGTAAATAAGGGTGTTGAAAACAGTGTTTTATGCCAAGAGGCTGAGTAGAATGAGGACCAAAAAATATTTGATTTGGCAGTGTGGATGCAGCTGCTAACCTTGGAAAGAACATAGTGGACTGGTGAGATCTGCAGAGTGTATGGAGAATAAAGATAGGTTGTGTTCTGAGAAGTATGGCTTTGAAGACTAGAATAGAAATAGTAGGTAGGCTAGGAATAGAGATACTGGGATGAGAGGTATTTTTGAAAGATGGGAGCTTCTAGATTATGTTTTAATACTTAGGATAATGATCCAGTGGAGAAAAGGAGGTTGAAGAAGCAAGAGAGGTGATCAGAGATGGTGCAAAACCTGGAGGAAAAATAGGCACCAGGAGGTGGGATCACCAATGTGTGTGGAAGGAAGGACTTCGATAGGAGAGGGCACTTCTTTGTTTCAGGAGAATGATTAATACAGATGAAGGCAAGACTGTAGGTTATTAGCGGGGAGATAAAGTAACTACTATCTGTTAGCTTGTATTTCATGTTTTCTTGATGAAGTATCAGGCAATCTTACCAAGCCTATCAGATGAGAAAGAGAGATATAAAGAGAGAGAAAAAAGTTAATGTTAAGAACCTTCTTAGTCCTTCGTCTCTCCATGGCTTCTGTTAAACTGAGCTCCTGAAATCAAGACTAAGTCTTTTAGAATGCTTTCCCTCTATGATTTCCGCTTCTTTCGAGGTGGTAGATGAAATATTCAGTGGGATCCTACTTGTAGATCCAACCATTTTAATAATCTTCAGTGGTCCTAGTTCACCTCCTCAGCTGTGCTGATGTCATGAAAACCAGCCTCGACCTCACAAACTACCCCTTGATGATGCTGACAGCTGGACTACTAATACCCAACTTGCTGTGCCGCTTCTTCATCTTTCCTTGGTGCCAACCATGCCTGCATATCAGGGCAGCATTCCATGATCCCATGGCTCTCAGGTCAACAAACCACAACACTAAGGTAACAGGGCCAGTTCTCTTCTACGTTGTTGGCTTCAGAAGCCAACCCAAGGGAATTTGTGTGTATGTATTACATGTGTGGAACATGTGTGTGTTGAAGGTGGGGAGAGTTACACATTTTAGAGCAACAGCCTCATCAGTGAAATTGATGTATAGCTTTCTAATGTAAAAATTTAAAGGATAATACTCACCTGTACAAATCACAGTCTAATCTAATCATTTAAAAACTCATCCTTAACTTATAATTATATATCACATATTGCTGGGTAGAGAGACTGTGATAGATACAACTACATCTCCCAGAGCCCAAAGCTCAAAGCAAAAATATGTGCTCTTTCTTTGCACTGGCACTTCTTTATGTGGCTTTCTGCTTCTCTAGAAAGAAAAACACTGACTGTAACTTCTGTGAGAGGAGAGGATCACATATTATAAATTCAAATATTACTTAGGCCTAAAATGAACAAAAACCATAACATAGTTATACTCTCAAAAAGTTAATCTAGCTTAATTTCGTATGTCTTCAAAGCCTTTTTTCCCCATCACTTGCTTCCAGCCCAAACACATGTACATCCACATTTCCTAGTGATCATGGATACTGAATCGTTATATAGTGAGCGAATGGATATAGCTCCAGTACTTAAAAATCCAAATTCCAAGGTCAACAACTACAGTCTCTCCCAAAATTCTTAAAACTCCAACAAAGGTAGTGCAACGCAATCTGTAAAGAGTCCTTATTGAAACAGAGGTGATTGTCCCATAAACAGAATCTCAGTGCTCAATGTGAGGCATAAGTTCAGCCTTAAGGATAGGTGGGGAATTGAGAGAACTTAAGACTCCATCTTCTTCTCTCCCATTATGTTGTGCAGTGCTCATCTTCCTTACATCTCTTGTCTCTTTGTAGCATTTACTTTATGAGGTTGTCTTATACATAGAAAGAAATGACCTACAAATTGAAGAAAGGGCTAGTAAATCCAGGAACTCAGTAAGTTTCCAGTATTCTCAGCCCAAGCACCTGCTCTGATGCCATGATCCCATCTTTAAAGTCTCCCATGCTGCTGTCATATCCCTGGTTACTTTTAATCAGAGAAGGTGGGAACATAAAGGTATCACTGGTCCCAAGTTAAAACTTCAAGTAATTGGAGGCAGAGAGTAGAAGCAAAGGATAAGGAGAGATCGGGGTCAACTCTGATAGGAAAATTTTTTAAAAATATCTTAAAGTTAGAATTCTTTCTGGCCTATCCAAGGTGATGGTCTTCTTTTTATAGGAAAACTCCTTTTCTTGGCCTCCACCCCTGAGCGGTATGCCCTCTAACACGTAAGCTGTAGACAAATCAGGCACTAGAAAAAACCCAACGTCCAAGTTCAGCTCAGAGAGCATTTTTTTTTTCATCTTTTTAATTATATGCACTGGACAAATTGAGTGTCTGCCATAGCCCATGGGTTTTTCTTGTCTTTCCTCCATTTTCCCTTGTTTCTCCATTTTACTCTGTGACCTGGAAGCCAACTGGCCTAAGAGTCAGGCCTGTATCCAAACTGAAGAGCACAAGAACCAAAACACTAAGAATATTCTCCAACCATTTTCTTCAAGGAGAGTCATTTCAGACAAGAATTTGGCAAGACGTTTAATCAATACCTCAAACACTTCACTTTCCAACTATGTTCTTCTTAGATCAGAAAAACAAAAACAGAAACGGTTCTTATCTCAAATGTGAAAATTAAAAAAAAAAAAAAAAAAAAAAACCTTCAGCTAGGAAATTGTGTTTCTTTCAGAAACCTAGACCAAATTAGAGTGTAATTTGGAATTCATTCTTCGACCTATATTTTTCAGCTTTGTAGCTCAAGATTAACAATTAAATAACTAAAATGTCAAGCATGCATTTGAAATATCAATAGTTCTTTTTAAAAAAATAAATACATAAAGATAATTTAATAAAAACAACATTTCCAAATGAATGTCAAATCTTTCTTATGTTAAAAGGAGAAAAACAAAACTCCAAATCACAAGTAACAGCCTCTTTTAGTTGGCCAATAGACAGGCCGGATTGGGAAATTCTTTTACGCGGCATCCAGTGATTTCCAAAAACAATTTAATTTCAAACAATGATCCTTCCAGATGTGACATTTGGGGAGAATTGTTTAAAACACCAGAAGTAAATGTGAAATACCAGTGGTTTCTAAACAATCAAACTCTCCAATTGTTAAGGTTTGGGATTGAACTATGCAGTTACTCCTATATATTAAAATACTATTTATACTTTGTATGTAGGACATGACTAAGAGAGTAGAAACTTAATTGTATACATTCAGACTCAGTCAGGTTGGTTGAAATTATGTTTTAAATGGCTGAAGGCAAGATTCTGATTTGGAGAAATGAGACTCTGGTTGCCTCGCCTCATATTCTAATCTCCTTTGCATTTTAGCACCTTCTGCACTCTCCCTACCTCTGCCACCCCCACTCCTTGGTATTGTTGGAAGGGGGTCAAGATAATTTTATAAACTTAACAGAAAACCATCTTTCATAGGACTGTTTGCATTCTGAAAACCTATCTGGGAGAAAGTAATGTTTGACCCAAAGGAATAAACTTTCGAGATAGTTGGGAGAGCAAAGGCGGGAGTTTTGCTAGTTTTTCCCCAGTCCTGTCCAATGGCTGGCTCTGGACATGTAAGGCAGAGCATGATACCCCACTAACCACTGATGACTGTATCTCCCATGTTTTTAGAAGCAACTGGAATCAGACAGACCTGGATTCAGATCATAGATGCACAATTAAATCAAATATCTTTGAACAAGTTACTTAACCTCCCCAAGTCTCAGTTTCCATCATGAGAGGTTGAGATGAGAGGATGCCTGCAAAGGACCTGGGATGGTGCTTGACAAAACTTTATCTGTGGGCTTCTCCCTGCCCGCTTTACAGAAGACCCAACTCTCTGCAATAGAAACCAACTTTTCCACTTAGTAATCACTGTGTGCCTCAGTTTCCTGGTTTATAAAGTAGGGGCACTCAGCTCTGCCCAGAGGGTTATTATGAGAATAAATGAAATAAAGCATGTAAAGTGTTTAGTACAGGGCCTGTTACTTAGTAAATGCTGGTAATTAGCTGCCATTATGCCACTTGGTCAGACATGTTTAATATTGCAATATACATAAGGATTTATAAAAGAGGTTTTAGCCTTTTTCATCAAGTATGGACGGAAGAGAACGCTCACTCTTACTTCCTCCATCCAAACTTCCTGCATTCTATGATATGCCCTGTGCACTTACCACAGAAATCTCAATTATTTGGCTTAATGGAAGGAATCCGGAGTGTAGAAAATCTAAAACAGAAGCTAAGGTCCAAATTTTTAGTTTAATATTATCATGGAGAAAGAGAAACACTCGTTGATGGAATGACACACATTCAAATAGCTGCACAATCACATAATTCCCTCAGACCTTGGCAAAATGTGCCCTGTTTTTGACAGCCTGGGATCCAGCTGGGAACAGGGAAAGCAAAAATCCCCCAGAGAGTAAATGACTCAAGGATTACCCATGCTTACTGTGTGCACAGCGCCTTGGAAATCAGTCTCATGCCTTAAAGTACAGTTTCTTTTGCCTAAGGATAGGCTTCAAGCCTCCTGTCAAGTTCTGTTGTAATCGTCGTCGTGCTTAGATTCAAAAAGAACAAGGAATCTTCAATGTGACAATCTCTGTGTCACTATGTTTTTTTTTTTTTCTCTGAAGTACCTTTCCTACTATCCTACTACCTGGCAAGTTTTGTTTTAATTCCTCAGTCAATGATTCAGCTTTTGAGTGAAAACGCTGACTCTATAGGAGATCTCAGCTAAAATACAAAAATTCCCTTGATAGGTGACAAACCCTTTTTAGTCATTGGCACATTCATTTCTTAGAAATGAGATATAAGGAAAATGCTTTTTATTGGCAATATGACTGAAGGGAGGAATTGGAAAAATAGGCAGCTCAGAGTCACAAGCTCAAATGCTTTCAGGGGCAGAACAGGCTGCATAGAGGGCAACAGGGAGTGACAGAGCTTGTGGTATACTAGAGAGTCAGCCTCACCTAAAGATATTCACATTTAAAACTTTTAAGAACATTGTCCTGGCCAATTAAAACATGCTGTTGATTAAAATGACTGTTGGTCCATCCGCTTGCAACCTGAAATCCAGAGCATAAAGTCGAGAGGAGGCAGTACCATTGGGTAGTCCAGGTGAGATGCTGTAAAGACCCAGGCCTGGGCCAGGAGAAGACAGCTGCGGATGCTGAAGGAGCAACATGTTTGTGCGACAGCTGTGTGCAGGGACCAGGGGCATACACACTTCATACCTGAGCATAGGGTAACTCACCCCAGCAGCCATCTACCATTTGGATCACCTGTGGGAGTCTCTGGAACAATGAAGCTATTCTTCTGGATCAGACATCTTGGAGCCAAACCTTCTGATAATTTTTAAGGACCAAAAGTCAAGGATGCTAGAGAGGCTGCACATCTGGAGAGTAGTTTTCAAAATTAATCAGTCTGACTTCAAACATGCTAGTGGGCAGAGAAGTCAGGATGCTTCCTCCACTCAACAGGTCCCCTTCTCACCCTGCCCCTGTATCCTGAGTAATTTCAAATGAATGGGCTCAGCACATGCCAAATAGGGATCTGTCAACCTGATACTGTCTCAGAGATAGAGCTTTGGACAAAGCTAAAAAATATTTTCTAAATAAAGGGATTGGATTGAGACAAAAGGGGCAAAAAGAAAAGAAAGTAAATAAAGTAGTGAGTTCAAGATAGTCATTTCCACTGTTAGGGCTAGTTCTCAGTTCTGTACCCAGCACAGTCCCTGGCACATTGTCAGTAATCAGAAAATACTTCTGAGCAACAATATCTGGGCTTCAACTAAATCACCTAGCGAGGGACAGCCCTTTCCTCCACATGCATTTCCATTTAGTGTGGGTCTCAGCTGTGTTTCCAGCAGATGTCTCTGGTTTATTTCTGCTCACAATGGAAATGCAGTATCAAA